AAAATACAGTCATGCACAGTAAAGTATTGTTAAGTACTATACTGGAATATATGGCAAAAGTAAAAGAATATATGGGCAATTTTATGGCTTAATGTGTCTCGTCTTTTGTTGTTGCAGAAGGAACAGGCCGTTTGTTTTTTGAGTTCTTTCGGCTCGTTATGTGTGGCAGACCAGATGGCGGTTCATCTCGTCCCTTTTTCTGGCTTTTTGAGAATGTTGTGGGAATGAGAGCTGTTGATAAAAAGACTATATCAAGATTCCTACAAGTAAGATAATCATTTATTATGTATAATCATTATCGTTTTCATTATGACTATCATCATCGGCATCTTCGTCCCTATTATCACCATCACCACCATCATCATCACCACCATTATCACCATCATCATCACCACCATCATCACCACCATTATCACCATCATCATCATCACCATCATCATCACCACCATCATCACCACCATTATCACCATCATCATCACCACCATCATCATCATTATAATTAGGTATATCATGCTCTATTGTTAATCTTCTTATAGAGCAACCCAGTGGTGGTTGATGCTAGAGATGTGTCTCCAGCCCACCGCGCGAGGTACTTCTGGGGAAACTTACCAGGCATGAACAGGTACGTGAACCTTGTATACGCTGTCTGGCGGCACGGCACGGCACTGTCACGGTACCGAATTCCCAAAATCATTTGAACCATTCACATAACGCGAGGTCACTGCTTATCCAATCAAAATGCTTCAATCAACTTTCAGTCCCTTTTGGCTTGGGCGTAACGTCTTTCCATTTCAGACCAAGTGTGAATAAGATTCTATTTTTAAGCTGTATCCATGTTCATGTGCAACCGTTAGACAAAKAAATGATACTCAAGSGAATGACACGTAGTCATCCGGTCGACTATTGCATGTAAGGTGCTATTAAAKCTGTTATCAGGAGACTAAGCAGTCATTCTACAATTTGATGAAAAATATATCAAATAGGCTAGATGGTTTGACACCAGAACGGCACGGTAAACGCTTCTCAGTTACACAATGAGCTCTGATTCTTCACTGCGTCCTTGCAGACCCACGAGACCAGTCGCTGGCGATAAGCTGACGCTTCAAGAATGTTTGGAACCAAACTGTGGAAGAAAGGCCAGGGTAAGTACGAATAGTGAGCACTGACTAACCCACCCACCCCTCCCCCTCTCCCGTGAATAATTTTGTCTTTCTTAGTTTACAAAGGTTCAAACAATCACTACCAATGCAAACTCCCTGAGACAAACAAAGAAGAACTTGCTCCCTGTGGTAGTCAGTGACCGCGAGGGCATGGAGCGGGAAGATATTTTGTGGTGTACGGAAATGGAGAGGTAAGATACAGGAAGCCCGTCTGATGATTTTACAGCTGTTTTAAAAACTAAATATTAGCTAATCGAAATCGAGAAAATTTGTAAAACTGAAGTGTAACTTTTCCTCTTGAAATTATGGATTTCCATGCCACCAAATGAAAAAATATCGTTGCTAATGAGCGCTCGATTAGTGAATCAATAATTTAATAATATTTTGATAATTTAATACTTATATTGCGCGTGTTACATAGGAAGATGCTCACACGCGCATAATAATTAATGATTTTATATCGTTATTGCTCTGGAGGAATTTTTTGTGCTCGTTCACTCAACCAGAATGTC